TACTAAAATTAACATTTTTTTGTGGTAAAAAAAATTTTTTTTCATACTTTTGGGTGTCTTGCACGGATTAATTTTATTTCCATTATTTCTTATGGGGAAAATTAATTCGCATAGCGAACATTTCGCATAACGACCAGCCCTCTTGCACGGATTAAGTTCGCTATGCGGGGGTCCACTGTACTATCGTACCACAGTCAGCTGCTGCTGCACCACGGCCAGCTGATAAACTGGACCAGTCAGCTGTTGCTGCACCACAGCTGCTGCTGCACCACAGCTGCAGCTGTACCATGGTCAGCTGCACCACAGCTGTTGTTGTTGCTGCACCACCATCAGCTGTATTACTCAAAGATGTGGAGAGAGTATTGTTGGTGTGGCTTAACATGAAACAATTACCAAGAAACAATTAACCCCAGAGGGTTAGCCACCCAGGATAACCCAAGAAAGTCAGTGCATCATCGAGGACTCTAACTTATTTCCATTGGGGTCCTTAATCTTGTCTCCCAGGATGCAACCCACACCAGTTGACTAACACCCAGGTGAACAGGGAAAAATGCCTGGAACTAGTGCTCATATTGGTGAATTTAAAGCCAGCGAAGGTTGGTTTGAGAGATTTAAGAATCGTAGTGGCATACACAGTGTGATAAGGCATGTTCTGGAAGAAAATGCCAAACAGGACCTACAGTACTCAGGAGGAAAAGACACTCCCAGGACACAGTGTCTCATCAGTCATTGCTGCATCTTCAATAAAGGTAAGTGTCATTTATTCTTCATTTAGTAGAGTAGTACATGCACAATATATACTGTGCATGTACTACTCTACTATTGTGCATGTATCCTTCTCTTTGTGTGTAGGAAAATGTATATTTCATGTGGTAAAATTTTTTTTTTCATACTTTTGGGTGTCTTGCACAGATTAATTTGATTTCCATTATTTCTTATGGGGAAAATTCATTCGCATAACGATAATTTCGCATAACAATGAGCTCTCATGAACGGATTAATATCGTTATGCGGGGGTTCACTGTATTAGCGTTGAATTCAGATATCATTTACATTTTTTATTTTTAATTTTCTTTAAGGTAGGATTAATATTTCATATTTAAGTGTTTTATATTTTATATTTTCTAAATAATAAAGTTTTTATGTTTGTCAGTTTTTGTTCTTTTTCTATTCATTAATTTTCCTGAGGAGGAGCCAGCCTTGGTGGGCTAATACTGTCTGAAGTTGTTACAGGGCTGAGTAAGCCTTCACAAGTGGCGACCTTGCCAGGATCAACTCCATGAATTCAAGATCCAACTCCATCTCGAATTACCATTGGAACTCAACGCCGCAATAACACAGATGATTTCACCAGCCATGAGTAATCATTTCTATGGGTAGGACTACAGTACAGGTATTTCAAAGATTTGGTGATTGTTATAGTCTCAATTTATGGTAAGTTAATCAGGTGGATTTAATATTATTTCTGCACTTTTGTTCGAGCTTGAAACATTTGGTGGATTAGGAATCTAGGACGACCCGAGATTTCCAGTGTCAATTTGTTTCATTGAGCTCTTTTATTTTATCAAGGGATCTGGTCGTAGGACACTCTTGATTTGTTGGTGAGAAGATTGGATGGTCAAGTGATCCCATTTTATTATGTTTTGTCGGAGCCGGCATGAACCCTTCGTTTTTCATTAATAAAATTAGTTTAATGAAGCAGGGATCAGCCCTCTGGTTATTTACAGTTTGAGCGGAGCAGGAATTGAACCTCGTTTTCTTTAAATACCCGTTTCATTTCCTGATAGTTTAAGTTTTTCTTTGCCAATATGGAGAATACCAGTTTTGGTATGAATGCTGGAAGTAAGTTAGGAATCCAGGGAAAAATTTAGAATCTTTCATTAGTGCTAAGATCAGGAAAAGACTGGAAAGAGAGAGAATTGAGAGAGAAGAAAGACAGTTAGAAAGGGAAAGAGAAGAAGAAAAGGAGAGAGAGAGAGAAAATCGAAAGAGAAGAGAAAGGAGAGGTAATTTGAGATAGGAATCCAGACAGTTAGAAAGAGAGAGAGATTCGACAAAAAGGAGCGTGATAGACTTGATCGTGAGGAGAGAGCTGAGTACGTGAAGATCAAGTTAAATTAAAGAAACTTGAGGAAAGAGCAAAGGTAGAGAAGTTGAGGAAAAAGCTAGAGAATGTGAGAAAAAGCTAGTGAACGTGAGAAAAAGCTAGAGACGTGAGGAAAAAAGCTAGAGAGTGAGAAAAGCTAGAGAACTCGAGTTAATAGAGAGGAGAAAAGGATGCGAGCTCGAAAAAGCTCACCTTGAATTAGTGAATAAAAAGTTAACCTTACACAACAACAATTTAGAGGAAGGGTAATTGAACATCATGCAGCAGTGACTTATTCCAACACCTAATTTACCTCCCTTCACAGAGGGTGAAGGACATTACTTTCATACATTATCAGGTTTGAAAATACCTACCCTCTGTGAATGGCCTGCTAAAACACCTGGGGCTACAGGTTAGGAATGTTACTTTTCTGGTCACAGCTTTGATTTTCTATGCAACTTTTGTGCAGGATATCATAGGTAATTATAACCTACTGAAGAAGGCAATCCTTAAAGATATCAAAAAATCCACTAATTCTTACAGGAATTGATTTCAGTATGCACTTCAGCTGGCCAATGAGCACTTTAGCCAGTTACAGTAACACTCTTTCGTATGTTCGTATTTTGGGATAGGAGTTCAGGCGAAGTGATACGTTCTGAATTCTTAGAGACTTCATGGTTGTGACAGTTCCTGACAGCTCTTCTCACCAGATACGAACATTTCATCAGAGAACGTACTGATAAGCTGAGGGGAAAGTTGCTGAGGCTGCTGACCTGTTGCTGAGGCTCACATTCCTATAAAGACCTAAAGTGATTGAACCCTAAGGGCAAGGGTTCATCAGACTTTAAGAAATCAAAGCCTCTAGTGGAAAGTAAAATGACTTCTTTTATTCCTGTTTGTCATTTGTGTGGTGTTAAGGGACATAAAGGTCAGTCTAGCTCCCACTATCCCTTCCCCTCCCTCTTCCCCCCCCCCCTGAAAGGTGATGTGTGGGGCTCAGGTCAAACAGTAAATCACTCGACTCACAGCTCCCAACACTACTCTTGAAAGGACAGAGAGAGGTCACCTGCTAATCAACGAGTAGAAATTGAAGGAGACGGACAAACGTTCTGAGGCGTCCCAATTTCTGATCCACTTACCTTTTTGTGTATGCAGATAGCAGGATATAACCCCTCATCATTGCAGTGGAAAAAAACCTGCTTTCCTGTCATCTGGTCTGATTAATGATGGATAGAAAATCTGTGAAGACGGCCGGTGGGTTGTCTTCAACACCTGCGACCCCCCCCATCATCGGCAACGGCTCGATTCAACAATCACGCAGTGTCACAACACCAGTCACCCAAGTTTTATATATTATATAGCGGCTGAATTCAGATTATTTATATTTTATTTTTCAGTTTCTTTAAGGTGGATTATATTTCATATTTAAGTGTTTTATATTTTATTTTTTCTAAATAATAAAGTGTTTAGGTTTGTCTGTTTTTTGTTCTTTTTCTATTCATTAATTTTCCTGAGGAGGAGCCAGCTGGTAATACTGTCTGAAGTTGTTACAGGGTGAGTAAGCTTCACATAGTTCTAGCAATGTGTATGATGGATAATTTTGTGTTTTATTATTGTTGAATCCAAATTGACTAAGGGTTTAATATGGTGTGTGAAACGAGGTAAGATAGATCCGTCTATGAATTAATTTTTCAAAGATTTAAAGAGCAGTGGTAAGTTAGATATTGGTCTATTGTTATTCAAGGTCAGGCTTGAGTCACCTCTTATATGGATCGGAGTAACCCTCGCTTTTTTGAGGATTGTTGTTTTTTGGAAGGTAGATGATTCAATGATTTGTTAAAGAGATTGCAATAATTGGTGACAATACTTGAGAAGCTTTTTTGTACTTAAAAGCAGGCAAGTTGTTTATGTCTCCTGCCTTGTTTTTAAGGGTGTTTATGATGAGCATAACTTCAGTGGGGTTGGTTGAAGCTAGGAATAGCGTATTTGGGTAGGTTCTTATGAGGTAGTCTGATGGACGGGCGTTTGTGCTTGGTATTTTGTTTGCTAGATTTTTCCTATGGTGGAGAAGAAAACATTAAGTCTGCTGTTTCGGTTGGAGTGAGTAGGGGTTCATCTGATTTTGTTAGTTTGATTGCTTTGTTTTTGGATAACTTACTTAAATTAAAAACTTTCCAAAGTACAAACTCAATACATACCCGAGATCCAACCAGACATTACTGCTTCTGCATTTTCCTTCCCCCTTCCCATAAACACCCCACAATCCCCCACCACCCCCACACATAATGTAAGCCCCCACAGAATACCCACCCTTCTCCAAAGGCAGCCGAGGCTCCCATGGTCACTATAGTGACACTCAAACTACAAGTTCTAGCACTGGTAAGCTAGTGGTCACCAGCCACCACTACCATGATCTGCCAGAGGGACAATGACTACCCACCTTCATGTTTTCTCAGACACCAGTTTCATCATGCTCTGCCATTGGGTAAAAGTGAATGGTAATCTTATGACAAAGCCCCTAGGTAGGTGATTATTCCCAAGGAATAAATCCACCGTAACAAAAAGGTAAGAATTCTCCTCAAAACAATAAACACTGCCATTACATAGCTGTTACTGCTACTACTACCACCACTACTACTACTACCACAAATACTACAACTACTACTGCAAGTACTAGTATTACTACTACCTACAATGATTATATTATGCTTTGTACCTTACTTTATACCTATATGTATACCCTCTGCATCCCTGTATTGTGGCAATTTGTATTGTAACAGCCTGACAAAGCTCCTGGAGAGCTTTGTCAAACTGTTACCATACAAACTACCACCATAAAATGTCACATTAGTTGCACTTGTGTCCTTTTATCTAACATATTGTTGGTAATTCTACCAACATTATTACAACTTACCTTACAGTTCAGTAACATGAGCTCATCCTCAGCATAGAGAGTCTCAGGTGGAGTAGCAAGGAGGTTCTGGTACTGAGTGTCCATCTCATGTAGCTCTTTCTGCAACACACTCATTACTTCTGAGACTTTGTTGAAACTGTATTGGTAGAGCCGCTGCATGTACCCATAGTCAGGATACCAGTGGTACTCTCTCTCTCCAAAATTATCCATGATGTAAGATGTCTATAAAACAAAAGAGCTCCAAATAAAATACAAAGAAGTTTACATTCATGTAGAATATATATCAAGAGACTATGTGATGGAGTACGACAGCAAACTCATTCTACAATACTGGTGTGTTAGGCAAACATTTTTCTTACTCTAACCTTGCAAACAATATTTTTTTTTAACCTAACAAGAAACATTCAGCATCATTCATGAAATAGCTATTTTTCCAAAAGTATGCAAAAATCACAATTTAATGACATCCCCCACCTCTCCTTTACAGTGAAATTACTGCCCTTCCCATCTCCAGGACTTAAGTTCAACTAACTGGTTTTCCCTGAATCCCTTAATAAAAGCTATCTTGCTAACACTTGACAACAAATCCATTAAAAACCCATTGTCTTCATTTGCTCCTAACATGTTTATAAAAGCCTGCTAGATGTTCAAGCCCCTAAAACTCAAACCCTCCTTCACCCCTTCCTTTCAACAATTCCTGGGATGATTCCACCCTTGCCTACTTTCCATCTCAGATTTAATTAAACACTGTCTTTGTCATTCTATCCCTCTCCATCCCAAACTATCTTAACAATCCCTCCTTAGCCCTCTGAATTACCCCAAGGGTATATTCAGAGGGCTTTTAATTTCAATACTCTGAATTCTCTGCATAAAATTCGCACCACACGTTGCTCTCAGACATGATGGCTACACTGCCATTAGCCTCCTTTTTGCTGCAATGTTAACCCTTAAACTGTCTAAACATAGATTTACATTTGCTCGCGCAGCGCTCCGAACTTAGATCAACGTTTTATTTTTCATTCCTTCAAAACTGCGGTGATAGGCCTGAGTTGTCTAGACACGAGAGAATGGGTCTTAACACTTGGTGTGCACAGTATTAAAATATCTGAGACAACTTACTACCCTGTGGGATCACCAGTTCAATTGAGCGCCAGCTAGAGCAAATAGCGTGGCAAACACCAGGGATTCACTGATGTCATGTTGCATTAACACTCCCCTTTTAAGAGGAAAGTAAAAATAGGTTACATATATACATGGGTGTTCCCATAAAGAATAATGTAAATTAGATTAATCCATTTCAGACCCCCAAAAATACACTTACAAAAGCACTAACAGAAATACACTTACATAATTGTTCAAGTTTTGAGCTGTTCATATCCTGAGGTACCACTGTATATGTAAATACACCAGTATTACAAGAATCTCAAGGGGTAACTTACAACATTACAAAAATACAACTTGCAGCGACGAGGTGGTTGTTTGACCTGTCTCTTGCCTTCCCAATCCACGGGGGGCCTTTTTACATAATATCTGCAACCTGCATCTTCATACTGTTCCTGAGAGAATGAATGAATATATGAGCAAGTGAATAAATGAATGTGCAAAAGGCATTAATGTGAAGGAAAATAAATATGAGAATAAAAATGAATCCGAACTAAATAAATGAGTCTATGATAAAAGTCTAGATATAACTTTTGTAATACTGAATGAACCAACAGGGTTTATCACTATTTTGTGAGTATAATAATAATAATAGTCTTCATGGAGAAGTGGAAAAGAATTCTTCCTCTGCAAGCCATGTGTATAATAAGAGGCAACTAAAATGCTGGGAGCAAGGGGCTAGTAACCCCTTCTCCTGTATACATTACTAAATTTAAAAAGAAAAACTTTTGTTTTTCTTTTTAGGTCACCCTGCCTCTGTGAGACATGACTGGTTTGTTGAAAAAAAATAATAATTAAAAAATATCCTCATTGAACAGATTAGGACATTTATTAGAGGGAACATTTTGCCATGAATGGCTACTTCAGTAAACAAACAAAAATAACCATTTCTTTCTGCAGTATGTATACAGAAAGTAGTTTACGTGTTTTTAAAAATTATAAACACAAAAAAAGCCCTACATGCAGGAGACTACAAAGAACTAGAATAGGTTATTGAGAAGCAATTGTAAAAATTTCCTCTGATGGTGTCCTATCTGTAAAAAAACCCCTTTTTCCCTCATTTTGTTGGTATTACTGGGGAGAGTTTTGGGGGTCAAAGCCCCCGCGGCCCGGCTGTGACCAGGGCCCCCTATCACCATACTTATTTTTTTCATGTCCTCACTGGCACATGGAGAAAAGGGCAACATGGAAATTCTTGTACATAGACTTAAAAGGATAAGAAAAGCATAATGAAAGTGATTTAAAATCTTCACAATTATCAGCAAGTTTGGGGGTGAAGAGCAAGTCATTAAAAATCCACCCCGAAAATTTTAAAATCTAAGAGGGACTGGAAAAAGTAAAAAAACAGGTAAATGGTCCCCCGACAACAAAATTTTTGCTTTAATTTTAATTTGCAGGCTTATTGTAACTAGGCATAGTGCAACACTTAAAAACAAGGCAAAGATTTATTCCCGCAATACAAAGTTTTTTCATTTTTCTCATTACTTCAACTTATTAATGTTTCAATTTTTTTTTGTTTTAACCCTTTGATGTTTCGGGCGATTATACATCTTAGGCCCCCGGGGTTTGACATATAAACTCATAATTCAGTGGCTTCAAAACAAGCAGGAGAAAGCTGGTAGGCCCACATGTGAGAGAATGGGTCTGTGTGGTCAGTGTGCACCATATAAAAAAAAATCCTGCAGCATGCAGTGCATAATGAGGGAAAAAACTCCGACTGTTTTTTTTAATTAAAATGCCGACTTTGTGGTCTATTTTCGTATAGTATTTATGGTTGTATTCTCGTTTTCATGATCTCATTTGATAGACTGGAAAACATGTTATAGAAATAGAGGTGATTTTGATTGGTTTTACTATAAAAAGAACCTGGAAATGGAGCTCAAAGTAGGGGAAATGCTTGATTTTTGCCAATGTTCAAAAGTAAACAAATGATGTCATTGTCCAATAAATGTCCAACTAGCCATTCTAATATGCAGTCATGAATGGGTTAACATTATTTGTATAATTATTACAGTATTGCAGTAGTCTGCATAACAGTAAATCTTCTATTTTTTGTTTGAATAAAAATTCAAAATAGAAAGCAGGAGTAATATCAGAGGGGCCTGGAGACATGACTGATGAACAAAGAAAATGTTATTTTAGAGCCAAGAATGTCTGCATTGTTCATTCTGGACCTTATTTTGAAATTGTCATATTTTTTTAATTTTCATGAAATTGTCCAAATTGTAAATTTCTGACCATGTTATTGGGTAGTTGAAATAGGTAAATGGGCAGTTTCGTGTACTCAATCGATAGAAAAACTGGAGTTCTAAAGAAATAGCTATGAGTTTGGTCGACTGGAACAATGGAATTAGCCGAAAATAGGGCTCAAAGTGGGCAAAATTGCCGATTTGTAAATATCACAGAGGTCGCTAACTTCGCAAGAGCGTAATTCCGTCAGTTTTCCATCAAATTTCGTTTTTTCTGGTATCATTACAATCGGGAAAAGATTCTCCATCATTTCATAAGAAAAAATAATTATTTTTTTGGAAACTTTGCGACACCAGGAGACACCTCAGGATTGGGGGTTGCGACAGTCAAGCGGTTAAATTGTGCTAAATTGTAATACAGTAGAACCTTGGTTTTTGTCAATTTGTTCCAGAAAGTCTGACAAAAACCGAATTCGATGAAAACTGAAGCAATATTTCCCAAAAGAAATAATGTAACTCTAATTAATCTGTTCCAGACACCCAAAAGTATTAACAAAAAATACATTTTATAAAGAATAACTATTGTTTTACATACAGAAAAAATGAGAAATAAATATAAAGGACTAATGAAATGGATAAATGAACATTTAATATCACTTTTACCTTTATTGAAGACTCTTGTTGGCATATGGAAGATGTGAGGAGGGGAGAGGGAGGAGGAGTGGTTATTGGTTGGAAGGGGAATCCCACTCCATAAGGACTTCAGGTATCAAGTCCCTATTTGGGGGTACTTCCCTTCTTTGTCTTTTACTGGCACTGGACTCCTGTCACACAGAAAATCTGTCCAGAGAAGTCTGTTTCTGCTGTCTCCTTAAAATTTGCATAAAATGGGACAAGTCATTGTCATTGAACATGTTGCAGATACGGCCTGCAACAGCTTTGTTAGGGTGATATTTCTCCACATAACTTTGCAACTCACTCCACTTTTCACACATGTCCTTGATCAATGAAGAAGGCACATTCTTCCTTCTCTCTTCCTCCTCCTCTGAAGCAATTTCCTCAGCTGTGATCTGTTGCTGTTTCTACATCTCCCTATACCTATTGATGTCTTTCTTGATCTTATCCGCCTCTGTGTGGACTCTAATTCCTTTTCCTTCCAAGGGAAATATTATTCTCAAACCTTCAGTGTCACTATGGGCTCTCCTCTCTCTCCTGTCCTTGCTAATCTTTACATGGAATACTTCGAGACTGTTCTTCCTACCATCGATGTGCAACCTTCACTCTGGCTCCGCTATGTGGATGACATCTTTGCCCTGTGGCCTCATGACTCCAGTCTCTTCCAACCTTTTCTTGAAGCTCTTAATAATCTTGCCCCATCCATTAAGTTTAAAGCTGAATGGGAATCTAATTCCTTGCTTCCTTTCCTTGATGTCCATGTCCACTGCTCAGATACATGTTTTTCCTTTTCTGTTTACCGAAAACCTATGCACAGTGGCATGTATATTCACTACTTTTCCTATCATGCTTCCCCTGTCAAGAAAAGTGTTCTTATCTCCCTCTTTCTCCATGCCCTCTGCATCTGTGACCCTCAGTTCCTTCCAGCAGAAATTTCCACTCTTCATAATTCGTCTTCCCGTCTTGGCTACCCTTCCCATTTCATAGACTCTGCCCTCTCACGTGCTAAATGTAATTTCTTCTCTCCCAAACTCTCTACTCCTGGGAACTCTTCTGTCCTCTGCCTTCCCTACATTTCCGGTCTTTCCAATCTCAACAATTCTCTCCATCCCTTAGACATCAAGCTTACTTTCCGCCAGACTAACACTCTTCGCACTAATCTCGTTCATACCTCTCCTCCCTCTACAGATGTTCCTGGTGTCTACTCTATTTCTTGCTCCTCCTGTCCTCTTCAGTACTTTGGAGAAACTGGTCGATCTCTTTCTGACAGACTGAGGGAGCACAAAAATAGTGTTAGGCTTGCCGACACTAACAATGCTCTGTTCTGTCACGTCAGAGATCACAGCCATCCTACTGACTGGTCTTCCGCTAAAACTGTCTTCCCTACTTCCAACTCTTAACAGTCACCGTCTAGTTGAATCCTCTCTAATACACAACTTTCCTTGTATGAATCTTAGTCCTGGCTTCGTCTCTGTAGATGCCTTCCTCTCCCACTACATTGTAAAATGCTCCAAACTTCAGAACACCCGTGACTTAACCTGATTCCTCATTTTTTCTTCTTCTCCCTCTTCCCCTTTCCTCTTTCCTTTTTTCTCCTCTGGGTTGTCTTTCTTTCTTCTGTCTCGTGTTTCTGTTCCTTCATTATTTATTTCATCACTTCCCCTTCCCCCACCTCTGTGCACTTGCTCTCCCTCTGTGGGCACCAGCTCCCTTGCAGTGCTCCCCTTTGTATTTGACTGGCTCCTCCTCCTTAATTCCCCAGTACTACCACTACCACTACTACTACTACTACTACTACTACTACTACTACTACTACTACTACTACCACTACTACTACTATTACTACCACTACTACTACTACTACTACTACTACCACTACTACTACTACTACTACTACTACTACTACTACCACCACTACCTCTTCCTGCCTATATATACCTGTCCTGCTCCACTTCTGGTTAGTGTGACTTTGTAAATGGTCTAAGTCGGACCAAAACGTCGTCGTAAGCTCCTCTCTTCTATGTGCGGGTTATTTGTGTATCGTTCCAGACACGGTATTGTGCCTTTTTTGTTATTCTTCATTGGTTAGATCTACCCTGTGGTTGTGCACCAACTCTTCCACATCCTAGCCACTCACATCCAACCCTATAGACTTCCTCTAACCCACAACAGATTCCACAACAGGCGTAGGGTTGTTAGGGTCAGCCTCAAACCCTTCAAAATCAAAATCAATCAAAATCAAACCCCTCAAAAACCGATGTTCCGCTGTACAGTGGAACCTTTGTTTTCGTTTACCCTGGTTTTTGTCAAATTCAGTTTTTGACGACTTTTTTCGTCAAAATTTTGTCCCAGTTTTCATTCATCACCTCGGTTTTTGTTGGTCCGCCGTACCGAACATGTCTGCCTGCCCGCGCCCACACAAAGCATCCCACATGTTCTGAGTCAGTCTGGCTTTGTTTTTCATTGAGTGAGCATTACCCTGCACATTCATCTGAAATGTTTCATAATAATCCATTGTTTTTTGTATGCGA